TTTGTTATTACAAAATTATTTAATTTTCCCTCGCTTAAGTCTTAGTGATCTCTGGGCCACAGGGTACCCGACATTTCCCAGAAGTACAATGCTTCTACATATATCATCTCACGAGTATGGGTCAGGTTCCATGGCTCTGTAGCGATCTGTACTAAATTTCAAGAGTTCAAGATTGGATGCTATGACCCCTGTGCATTAATTCTATCATATCCCATGAGTTGGTGATTACGGTTCATGAAGCCCGAGCTATTCATACCGAAATCTACAAACTTGAAGTTTTTGGTCGGATCCTATAAGTCTGAAATTCTCCAATATGGCTGATTTTAGACTGGAGTAGTGAATATCAGTTTCTGCATGACCGAAGTTTTCGATGTGGGGTCGTACGAGTCCCGAGTTGTTTAGTAAATGTCATGACCTCGTAGGGTCATCAGAGTCGAACCCTAAGTCTGAGTTTCGGTATTAAGAATGAAGTATTAACTAAACTTGAGCGAAAATGACTCATAAACGCAAGTTGTTTACACTATAAAATTTATGTAGGATATATTTTTATGTAGAATATATTTATATACATAAAATTATATATGTATAAATATGTGTATGTATACAAGAATATTTCAGATATTGAAATAAAAAATTAACTAAGACCTTTTATTTTACCTAAAGTTCTACAGCCAGATTCTTACACTTACATGTTTGTTTTTTATATCGACATCATTTTTCTCGACTATTACGTTTTCTATAAAATACGCTGAAACATTCTACGTTATCTCTCATTATTTTCTAATTTTAGAGAATATCACGAAGAATTTGTTATGATTAAAATCAGCCATTAAATCGTATAAGAAATGTAACTGACATTTAAATGACCGAGTGACCTATTTGTTTACTCGCTTCAAGTCTTTTAACTTTTCTAGATTTAATCCAAACGACCGAACGATCTTGATTTGACAGAGGTCATATCGAAGCTGACACACAAGCCCGATTATTACAAACTCTAAATCAAGATGGTTCGGTCCTAGAAACAGGAAATGAACACTTTTCATCATTTAAAAAGCAATATTTCTAATAGTGAAGTATATAAATATGAAAATGACGTTTACGTTTCTTTTACAAATATTACTCACAAAGAAAATTTATCCTACAGACAATAGTAATTAAAATATCAATATTTGGCATATCGGTTGCTTATGGACATTTAGTTCCTTCGAGACTTTCGTTCACTATGCTGAGTAAAACAAGATAAAAAAAATTGAAAAATTTAACTTTAAGAAAATGATCAATGTCAATTTTGTGACAATTTTTTTTAATAAATTACCACCGAGCCAGAGATGTAGAATTCTACCCTGTGTAACCACTTTTATTTTCAATTACCTCGATAATTCACTTTGACAATGATTTTTGAGATAAATTGTACCATACCGCGATAAAGGAATTTTTTTAACTTCTCTATGTAAGGTATTGTCTTGTATTTTCTTCGAAAAGAATCCATTTTTTGTTGTATATTATTCACATTTATTAACTTGTTTTCAATTGTAAGTATTTTTGATAATGAGGTTTCCCTTGAATAAATTCAAAAATGTATTTTACCTTTGTAATCAATTCTGATCCAAACCATCAGGTTACTACTAGCAATTTTTCTGCTAGGTTTAAAATTTCTTTACGTAAATCATGATAACAATAAGTAAACCCATTTAGACCGTTTGAACTTTTGCTCTAGCCCGTAAATAGAACCTGTTTTTATTTTTTCTTCCAATACACTTGCTCCTTATATAGTTTGTTTAATGAACGTTTCCGACCCATTTTGAATAGCTGAATGTTTTTACGTGATTATAAAACACGTTGTATACTCCGAACATTTGCTATAACATCTACTTCGTGAGCAATTTCCCTTGAAGTTAAAAATGAGTTCGAGGCAATATAAATATAATAGTCTGTTTTGCACATTCAAATCAAAGTGATGGTCTAGAACAGCGTTTCTCCTCCATCATACGGTTGCAAACCTTTTCGAAAATTATGAATTACTTTACAACTTCTTTTGATTATACGTGAAATTTTTGAATAGTAAAACTTAGACTTCAATTCAATGATTTTTGTAATTTTCGTCTTACTTATTTTATAATCTCGAATTACTCAATAATTACAAATCGAAGTTTGAATGTGTAATCATTTTGGCTTCGAAATTTTTGTTTGTTTTCGATGTTAATAGTAACATAATAAGTTGAAGAGGAGGATCGAACGATTTATGTAAACTTAGATTACTTCTGGGATATTTAAAATAGCACATATTTATTATCATTTTATCCGGGACTGTATATACATAGCATTTAAAAGTATAGAAAAAACAATACATGCAAAACTTATTAGGTTCGACGAGTAAATATTTTTTCTGTGAGTGGCGATGCAAAAAATATCTCAAGGTTAATTTGATTTTTTTACCAAAACGCTATAAATATTTATTGATAGTTTGGTAACACTTATTCAGACGAATTCAAAAACATAAAGTGAAGGTCATTCAAAGTGATAAAATATTGAAAATTGATGAGATTAATTGAAATGTGATAATGTATTGTTTGTCTGACCATTACTCGCAGTTTCTACTAGTTCTTGGTAACTCTGGAATAATGTAGACCTCTTTATGGTATTTAGAGCATAAATTAATATCTTATTTTAAGAATTTTAATTGAAAATGTAGATAATATACAATAGTTTTTACAAACATATATATAGGCAATAATTATTATAATCTTACAATAGGAAGCAGAAAGAAACATAAACTTATTATTATAATGTTAATTTTGTAGGTACATTGATCATATTGATAACGTAGTTTGTATTACACATAATGTGAAAAAAATTAATATGTATATTTCTTCTTAATTCGGTTCAGTTTTATCTAACAATTAATTCCTTATTAGGAAAGTTTTTAGTGTTTTTCATTTGCAGTTATCAAATATAAAATATATATACTATTGTATTATTGGAAATTATAAGTATAATGTTTAATCTTGATAATTAAATTACTAAAGAATATTTATAGAACGTACAAAAATAAAATATACAGGAACAAATTTTTGTTACATATTTAAAACCTAATTAAACTAACTTGTTTAATAGTTGTAATTAATAAATTACTATGAATTCCATATTTCTTAGTGTTTTTCGAAGTAAATGTTTAAATATAAATATTATCTTTTCTTTCCATGTGTTGGTGTTTGGAAATTGAATTAATATTATCCATAAATGATTCTAACTAATTATACACTTAATTTTAACATTTCAACAATATTTCGCGCTAAGATTCTAGGTTTTTGTTGGCAATTACAAGTAATTTAACGTTCTTCTCTCGCGGTGATACAACATAAATTTTCAACAGTACTATATTGTAAATATTTTTTATAAACCTTGTCGACCGCATTTTTAGTAAAATTGTACTTTTTTGCTACTGTACAGTAACTTAATTTATTTCGACACTTCGGACAGACTTTGATTTGAAAATTCTTTTCTTACTGACATTCTGCTGTTTCCATGCAAATAATCTATTTTATGCAAAGCTTACGCATCAACCAAATAGTTCATTTACATCGCACTTGTTTACATTTTTCGCGTTGTAATAACATCTTGCACAAGTGTCCACATATTTTTGCCGCTTGACAATCAACCAACGTTTTCGTTAAGTGTACTTTATGTAAACACAAATGTAAATATTAATTTCCATTATTCACTAAATAATCTATCGTATTTCGTAATAATCTCATGTATTATATTTTAGTGACGAATATGTAGAAATTCTAACAATGTTCAAAAAGTAGTTCCTTAACCCCGTAAAATGAGAAAACCCCCATAAAAATGGTCCAACTTCCAAACGATCATAACTCCTACAATAGTCAATGGATTTCATTGAAATTTAGTTTGTAAGTAGAGCTACCTACAAAAAAGTATTAAATTACATTTCCGTACAGCGTCAAACAAATTTATTAAAACCGAAAAATTAATATTTAAGAAAAATCGACAGGGAGATGCCTAAATTTTTCGACGAAAAATAAATTTTAAATCGTTCTGAAAAAATTATTTTCGATTATAGGGGTCAATTATAATCATTTTTGGTAAAGAGACACACCTCCAAAATCTTACGCATTTTCGAAAAAAAAAATTCATTACTGAAAATAACTAATAAAATAAATAATTCATTACTGATCATAACTGTTACCATGAAAATTGAAAAATTTCAATTCATTCTGGAAAAATTATTTTCGGGTGCGAGGATCAATTAAAATTATTTTTGGTCAACAGACATACCTTCGAAATCCTACGTGCTTTCGAAAAAAAATTCGGGTAGGTGGATAAATTTTTCGACAAGATTAAAAAATTTCAAATCGTTCTGAAAAAATTATTTTTGGTTGAGGGGGTCAAGTACAATCATTTTTAGTGAATACACATATTCCCCAAATCGTACGTACTTAAGAGAAAAAAATTTTTTACCGAAAATATACTGTGTGACCAGAAATGTTTCTTCGACATTTCATGTGTATTTTAATAACTTTTTAACGAAGCCTCAATCAATAAATTGGTATTCTCAATTTTCGTCTTATTTTAACCTCTAGAATCTCCCATTAAAATTTTTCCCAGGGGTGGCCGATCACCCTGTATAATGTATGAAACTTGAGTGCATAATAGTTATACTACTTTGATTAAATTTAATTCATACCTATTTCCCCTATCTGCCCACCTAATTTAGTCTGCAACTGTAAAAATTTGCAACTATCCATGAAAATGAAAAGAATATGTTCCGAGCGTATTCTGTTTGTTCTTATGATGCTTTAACCCAGTATTATCTAAAATTCATCTTTCCACCGCCAGAGTAACGGTAAAACGGTAACATTCCGGAAACTCGTGCGCGTCATTGTACATACGTGGCTCGTACCTTTACTCTAATACCTCCTGAACTCTTCTGCTAGAGGGAAGTTTCACAAAATCGTTATCCTTTTATATTGCAGAACCGGCGGAGGCAGTATGCTGGGTGACGTCAACATCTCCGCAATATTGGACTCGTTCTCCGTCAGTTACGATAAAAGAGTAAGGCCGAACTACGGAGGTGAGTAGGGTTACGATTTTTCCCGCCTATCGATAGTCCGATCATTCGACCACTTTGCGATAGCGTCGATGTCGTGAGCAAAACTTAAACTTACTCGGTGCGTCCGACGAACCGTTTTACGGACACCGTTAGAGACACTCAGGTTTTGCCAACGATGTTCGATCACTTTCGCATACCTGCTTACTCGTCGCATTTCTGATAGTCGTTGCACGGACTGGGCGTATCGAGAATCCATTTCGCAGCGAACGTAGCCACCATCTCGAAAATTGTTCACGACGAACGCGAAATAGCGAAGCATCGCGAAGCCCTGGGATTCGAGACGATGACTACGTTCGCTGCGAACGTCGAAACAAGAGTAAAACGTGTGCTTGGATTTAAACGGTATCAAATCCATGAAGGGAAGCTGACGTTAGTGCTGAAACGTGGATTGATTACGCACGAAATGGAGGAATTAACGTCGATAAAGTAGAAATCGATCGAATACCTGTTACCGAGATAACATCGTACGCGTACGTGAGAACGAAGTTCTCAGGAATGGCGTGATAACGAACGAAAACGGTCCGAAAACGTTGATCGGGACACGACAAAGGGACAAAAGAGAGACGACAATGTAAAAGAGGGTGGAGCGCTCCGGGAAATATTTTTGACGCCGCTTACTCTCTCGTCGCGGACGATACAGAAAAGAATATTCGGGACAATAGGGAGCAAGCTCGTGGGCGTGTACTTTGCCGTCGTCAAAATTCTCAGCTAGGAACGAACACTGAATGAAAAGTTGCGCCGTTCTTCGATCCCGAGTGGACTAGCCGTTTTTGCCAACGTTTTATCAACCGCGACTAAAGAACAATATCAATCAAGTTTCGACAAACAGATCGAAACGGAATCTTCTTTTATAGATAACGAAAATTAGTATATACTACGCAAATGGGATAACAGTTCCTCCCTTATTAATAGACTGCGGATGTTTATACATTTATAGGAAATTTTAATTCTCAAAAAACTACAGAATGCATTTAATATGCAAAAGTATGAGAAATACTTAAAGTAAAATCGAATTATTATGTTTAGGGGTTGAGATAACCCTCTACAAAGCTCTCATTTTATTAATTTTACTTATTAATATATCGAATGAGACGTTTAAGACAAGTATCCTAGATAACTTGTTTATTTTTACAAACTTGACATTATTCAATCATAAATAAATTTGACAAATTTGACAAATGTATTGAATAATGCCCAAGTTTGTAAAAATAAACAAGTTATCTAGGATACTTGTCTTAAACGCCTCATTCGATATATTAATTCTCTGTTATTCTACTCTGAAATATATTTTTTAAATAAATAAATTTTATTCAATTATTCGCTAAAAGTTGCGTATACTTTCGGATCTTACCTTTATTGGTAAATTGAGTACATGAGTTTTCGGATTATCGCGGATATTTTCGAAATGACATGAAATATATAAACCAAATTCAATTCAATTTTTTAAGATTTTCTATTTTGTATAATGTGACGACGAAAAATTTTCGAAAAAAACTTGTTTTCAAAATTCATCCTCATTACCACTTTTTTCGAATTTTTTACCGCTACATTATAGAATCCAGTTTCATTCAATTATAGGGACTTTTTTTAGTAGATCAATGTACTTTTTATATACTTTCTAGTAAAGGTTTAGAAAACAAAGACGGTGATCCATAATTCGAAGTTATACAGACTCCCTTAGGTCAGTTACGAAAAAAAATAGTTTGTGTTAAGAAAAAATAGTACAAAAATTTACATTTTTATTTATTTTATTCGAATATGATGGGAAAGTTATGAAAACTACACTTAAACAGCCGATTTTACCGTGGTTACAATTTGTTTCATATTTATCTTCCTTTAAGAATTTTTTTTAAATTTTTAATACTAATTACCTTATTGATTTAAGCGCATATAAGTCCACTTATTTCACTTAGTGAACAATAACAAAAAAATAATAAACTTGTATAAATATATAATAAAACATTCGCGATTGTTGTATATTTCCTTTGTTATTATATTTCATTCTCATTTTTGAGGAAATTATCTCTAAGGAGCTCAATATCATATCAAAACTAAAATATCATAGGATTGTTGTTATGTACGAACAATATCCTACACCTCTTTTATCTATTTTGCAACCGCACACATGTCAACAATGTTGCTTCCATTTTTGCTTTTATCTAATAATGTGTCTAAACGAAATATTTTAGACTATTTGAATGACGAAAGCAAATTGTGTTTGCCATAATAAACTTTTGTAATAGCCAATTTTCCAGGATGTTTTCGCAATTTTTAATTTAATATCGGCATTTTCATTTAAATGATTTTTATAATAACCAAGAGTTTATTCTAATTGGTAAGTTCCACATGTATACATACAGTGTGTCTCACGAACTCTGTTCATTAAAATATCTTCAAAACTGTTAACGATACTGAAAAATGTTTCATACAAGAATTAAATGTCTTCGAGAGAAACATAATTTAATGCAATTAGTTTGTGTTTAAACGTACGCGTAGAGGACATATACAGGTCAGCAATATTTTTGTAAATAAAGTCATAGATTTTGCAATCCACTATTCAATGCAGCTTGTCATTTCTTGTAGAAAAGTATTATCATTTATGACGAAAACCTTTTAGTTTAAAAGTTATTTAATACTAGATTTACGGGAGCCATCAATTTAACGGGTGTCAGATTCCATATTAAAGCTACAGAACGCGTGAATATTATTTGTTTGAAATTTATGTTGAACTCGGTCAATGAAATTACACAAATGTATATTTTAATTAAAATAGAAATCGTATTTTAATGTAATCGTCAACATGAAGCGTTTCAATAAAAATATGTGCAATCAGTGTCCATTAATCCAGTGTTAAATGTAAATATTTCTACTATATCATTAAAATATTATTATTCTAAAATAATATTCTCCTCCATATGACATTCAGTATTTTTAATGCATTAATCGATTCAACTTCTCATTCTCGACAAAGAAGTACTGTATTATTTATAACAAAAAGCCATTACTTTAAAGAAATGTTTCAATTTAATAATTTAAAAGCTTCAATATTTACGTTAAAATATCTTCTAAACTAATTATGTTTCGCCATAAGTGGCTCAATAATTTTTCACAGGAAAGGACTAATTACATTGAATGATGTATGTATTAAGAAATATATGATTTCATTTAAAAAAAACATCTATAGCCTTTATATGTATGTCGTTTGTATGTGTTTACTTACGAAAGAAAAAATTACAGCAAATCATGCACGTCTCAAAACCATTCTATTTTTGCCTCAAACATATTTCGATATCACCAACACAAGACATACTATACATATAAAGATCACGTTTATTTAAGATAGAGAAGAAATCCAGTATCACTTCAACTTCAACACTGTGAAACACTTATAATGACATGTTAGATAATTCTTGCTCCTTCACATTTTGTGATAGATGTATATTTTAGATTGTGAAAATTTGAAAACTAAGGAACAATCTTAAATACGGAACTAATTGCAACCACAGTATAATCATCTTTTTAAATGCATTTTTCACACGTTACCCTTAATATTCGAATAAAATAAATATTATACTTTTTGCTCGTAAGAATGCGTATGTACATGCTATAAAGAATTTTTCGTTTCCGACCAAGGCGAAAAATCGACGATTTTTAACATTATCGTTTTGACTATCGATTTCTTAAATATCAGCTGGCATCAGTTGATAGGCTTCCTTTAAAGATCAATATGGAGAACTCAACAACGAACTGTTTTTGAGGTAGTCGATTTACTGTTTCTATATGTATTATTAGTTGCAAATGTACATTCACATCCTGTACGTTTCAATAGTATCAAGAATATAAAAATTTCGATAATGTTGTAGGTATTAATTTGTCAGTTAACATACAAAATGTTAATACATTGATTAAGGGGTAAGACCCCTCTAAAAACCAGAAATAAAGCGTTCTTTTGCGATTTTTTTTGGATGTTTGAAAAAGTAAAAGAATAATAATATTCAAGAATGTTATTAACCATGTCGTTAAATGTTTAAAAAAATATATTTATTCAAAAATAGTGCAAAATGACGACGCGGGAGCCATTCTCGTGAGGCGTGTTGGAAGGGGATGTTAAAAAAGTGCCAAATTTATACCCCGCCAGGCACCTAAAATAATTATAAGGCATTATTTTACAGGTTCTGCACTTCAAATTGTGCACAATTGTTTATAGCAAATGTGATGGGAAAGTCGTGAAAATGTGGTTGAAGTTGACGATGTGGTAATTATTTACTTTAGTGATTCCTCACCGATTTCGATGACCTTGCAATATGTTGTCAAGGTCACTGATATGAACATTTTTTCTATATACATGTTACCGCCGCTCGGCCTTAGTTTCAAAGATTTTTTCCACTACAATGAATTCCGTCTATACGTACGTGCCTGTGGCAGCGTGTGTGTAAGCGTTGAATCGCCGATTGTTTATTGTTTCTATAGATACATCGAGGCGGCCGGCAATGGATGCGTATAACGGGTGTGCTTAAAAATTCGATTTGAGTAGCCGGCCGCCTGACGGCGGCCGGTATAAGAACATCTAACCCAGACCTAACCCAAACCTAACTATTCTACCTAGTAACTAATATAATGAATTAGGTCTGGGTTAGATTATTTTATACCGGCCGCCGTAAGACGGCCGGCCACGCATTCATTTTCTATTTCAATTTTCTTTATTAATATTATCCGATATTAGCTTGACACAGTATACATTATTTGTATACTGGTATTTGAATATTGGTTTGTACCAAGTTGATATGTAAGCAGTTACAGATACGGTATTTCACGAATCTGTTCAGTATTTACAGTCATATAATAGTAATAATAGTAAAGAATAAAGTATAATATTTTATCTCCAACTCAACCAGAGGCTAATTCAGACATAAAATTATTTTTGCAAATATCTCGAAAACAAAGGGCGAGCGGCGGTAACA